TTCAGTGTTTGTTTTACTGAAGCAAGAAGGGAGATTGCACGTTGGGGTTGAAGGGAGACAAATATAAGTCTTCATGCGTAAATTTTTTGTGTATATTTCTTCTGGTTACCACCTAGGGATTGATTCCTGGTATTAGAGTCACAAAGCCAAAATGTATGAAATTCATAAGCTTCTTTACCCTCTACCTGCCCTTTTATTCTAAAAGCATTCTTCGTGATTCTTCTGTCCCCATACTACATACTTCCCTGTGTGACTTCACCCATTCCCATGGTCAAATGGTTTTAACTGCTATAGATAGATGGGTGAGTCCAAAATACTTATTTCCAATCCAGATCTCTATATTGAACTTCAGACAAATATATTTAACTACCTAACATAATCTGTGGACCTCCTGGGGACATCTGTGAATATCAAAAGGTCCCAAACAGAATTCATTATCATTTTTCTTCTCAAATCTACTATATCTCCTGTGTTCCCTAGTTTGGTCAACATGACCACCATCACTCCTAGTTGACAAAATCAAGAATTTAGTTTTTATCTTTGATCTTTCCTCTTCCCGTTACTATTCTATCAAAGTATATCCAGATTCTATAAATTCTACTTCCTAAGTGTCTTTGGAATCTGTCTTATTTTCTGCTTTCCCAGGAAACATTCCTTAGTTCAGATGCTCATCACTTTTGTTTTCGATGATGGCTTTTGCTTCTTAACTGGGTGTTTTGCCTTGAGTCTTGCCCTCACCAGCTCCAGTTTTAAAGTACATGGCTGATCATATTGTTTCTTTGATTAAGATGTGATTAAGATTGATTATTTCCTCCAGGAAGCCTTCTCCAACCACTTTGTCCCTTCCTGTCCAACTAACAGGTTAGTCAACCCTTCTAAGTTCCTATGGCATCCTAGGCTTACCAGCATGCTTTACATCTTGTTAAAGTTTTTGCTGCCAAGAGACTGAGAACTCATTGAGGGCAGAAATTTGTGAGATTCACATTGAATCACAAGTGCCCAATGTAATACCTACATACGGTAGGCACTTAGTATGAGATTTTTGAATGAATGTTATGAATGGGTTTTAACCTATCATGAGACTGTTATTAGTTGAATGAGGAGTTAGGTGATTAATTAAGCTCATAAACTCCAAACAACTGAGTTTATAGATCCTATGTTACTTTTCAAGGACAAATTTTGAAAATACCACGTTCATTATAGGATAAACATTGGTTTCTCCCTGTTCAACATATCACAATCACTTTTTCAAAGTGGAGAAATGAGAATGTTATGAGAACCAGATTGTGAGGCTAAGAGATTTATTCTATAGCGGGGAAAAAACCTACAACATGTAAGAAGATGCTTTAGAAGAGCTGGCAGATAATGAAACCATAAACTATTTAATTTTTTTCTTTCACTGCCCCAATGTTAATGCTGTGTTTTTGCTTTATTTCATATTGTTCATTTGTTTTTGCAAAGTCCTGAGCACTGATGTAGCAATCTGAAAGGTATATTTTGGAAAAAGCATAACATGGATTAACTCTATGACCCTTGTTTCCTCCTAGGGCGATCAGTCTGGCTGGCTGGTCCCAGGAGAAGGATATACACTTGCAGTTACCCAGCATCAGCAGCTTGCTGAAATCGATACTAAACTCCAGGAACTCTCTGCAACCTTCCCCATAACCTTCAGCTTTTCTCCAAGACTGGAAAATGAGAATGACCAGGTATAATTAACTCAAGAGTGTGTAGACTGTTCAGGTTCATGTGAGCTAAAGCTAGTTCACATTTGACAGTCTGCTCATTAACTAAAGAAGTTTCTTTCTGATTGCTTTTTCCATGACTACAACTGCAGTGATAGTAATTTCCATAACTGTATATTTTCCTTTGGTGACTTCCACTTTCTATTTATTTTTATTTCAGTCGGCAGTATGCTGGGATGGAGATATTTATTTTAATATTGTTATTTCTTTATGATTTAACCTAATTCTTGATCATGTCAGGAGGGAGGAGAGGGAAGAAAATTGACATAGTACTTTTTAGTCCTTTGAGAACCTTATCTCTCTTTATTTGTCTAGTTCTAGGTGTTAACAATGGCAGCCACGTGTCCCTTGTCCTGCCACATTATTCTAGCTTCTTTAATTTAACATCAGGCAGTGCTGCTCACTACGTTTATGGCTTCGCTCCTGTGAGGGATTTGAAATAAATATGTTTCCTCTCTTGATAGTTCCCTCAAATATTCTTTACACAGATAGTGGAAAGTGTAGAAAAATGGAAGAATAATAGTAGCTTTGCAAAAAGTAAAATATTTTTTTTCCCACCTATATTTTAGTACTTCGTGGGATCTAGTTTGGGAGTGGGTGGTAGGTAGTTTTCACCTGAAGAGAAAATGGCAGGTCATTTGTTATTCTAGTAACCCTCTACCAGTTTTACGAAAACTTCACCAAATCATTTTCTGTACAGTCTTAGATGCATATGGTTTTCTTGTTCCTTAAAAAGATTTAAATATCAGTAGTCTACAGGGAATAATTCTGCTTTATAGTGAATCTTTTCTCCAAGCTATCAACTGAAGATTAAGGATTTGGCTTTGGGCCAGTTGAAACTACCTCAGGGGAAAAGAGCAGCATTAAAATGTTCCAAAGAAAGTTTGGTCACTGGCAAACCTTTACGGAGCCAACTCAACTTCCTTAGGTTATGTTTCTAAGGGCCAGGCACAGCTGCTTCTGAACCCTCTACACAGCAGTAGTGGGGTTAGTGGAAACCACAGATTTCTGGATTGGGATCAGAGTTCTTGGAAAACAAAATCGGAATCTCTGTCCCTACCCAAATGTACCCCAAGGACTTTGACACTAATTATGTTGCTAGTTTATTTATGTTATCGAGTGCCATTTCCTAAAAGAAAGAAGCCAAGATGGAGGAATACAATTGTTCAGGGGTAATATTCTTTGTTCTTTTCATGTTGTTCAGCTTCATGTTCAGTTTCATGTTCAATAGCTGACTTTGTTGTTGTTATAGTTGTTAGATTTCAAGGATAGCTGATATCTCAAAGCTAAATAAGTAATGATCCTAAAGATAGAAAATGTCTTTTGTTCATGGCTGTCAAATGTTATTCTTGAAAGAGACTGAGAATTTAGAGATTTGTTTAGCCATTAGGACTTTGAATAAAGCATGACCCTGGTCAGATTCTGTCATGGTCCACTAAATCACATTTTCAGAGTTTACATTTGTGATTCTGATAAAAAAATTTAAGAAATAATAAAAGAGAAAACCAGTACGTTACTTAGTTGTTATGTATAGCGATTATATATTTTTGTGTGAAACAACATATATTTAGAAAGAAAAGAGGAAACTGCATTTTGAGACTTCCATTGGATGCAGAAACAGAAATGTGGCATTATAGTTGCTGAAAAGAAATAATTAATGCTTCTTGCATGCAAAAATAGAATATCTTTTGAGCTTTTGTTCAATTTCCTCTTGGCATTTTCTCATTTCTAACTAGAACCAGCATATTGAATTTTTGAGGCAGAAATGCTAACATAGCAAATTATTATATGGATATTATTTTTGGATTGGAATTCTTTTTGAATAAATACACTGAGAAGTATCTTGGATAAACCTGGCATGTCTATTCAGTTGACAAATGGGTTCCAATCTGTTGCTGAACTACAAATATTTATAGTGAATGTTATTTTTATTTTTAACCCTTCTGCAAACCATTAACTCATCAGTAATTTTTCTCTATGTTCCCTAAGAAAGAATGTCTTTTAAGTAGAATATAAATTTCTGTTTTTTTGACAATCAATTCAACAAGTATTAATCAAGTGCTCACTGTGTGTGAATAATTATAAGGCACTTAAAGATAAGTCAGGCAAATAAATATAGAACTGTGGAGTCAAAAGTCTCTCTTCAAGTTGTGACTCTTTCACTTACTAGTTCCAAGACTTGGGCATTAATTTGAAACACTCCAACCCTAAGTTTCCTCATCTATAAAATATTAATAATGATATTATTCTTTAAGGTTCTTTTTAAAGGGTAGATAAGTTAATACATATAAAGTGCTTTGTATAATGTCTGACAGAATTCAACCAATGATGATGATGATGATGATGATGATGATGATTTAGAATTCAACCAATGATGATGATGATGATGATGATAATAATAATAATAATAATAATAAAATGACTTAAGGAATTTATTACAGGAGGCACAAGTTATACATAGGTATCTGTGGTACAAGGTAGCAGAATAGAAGGCTATAAGCAGAGTGCTGTGGTGGTTCAGAGGAGAGAGAGAGAAAGCACATGCAGAAGGAATATCAAGAAAGTCCATTTCCACAAGTGAGGAACAGGAGAGGAGAAAGAAGAACTAGTGATTGATGCAGAAGGGGTGAGAGGCCCAGGAGAAGACTTCAATTATATAGTAGAAGGTCAAAAACTGGTGGCCTGCAGGGCAAATTTAGCTCATTGATGGGTTTCCTTTCTCCAAGCCCACACAAGGTTAACAATCTTCTTTTTTTTCTTTTTTTACCCATTTTTGGGTAAACCAATATAAAAATCCAAGTTTCTAGTTGAAAAATTAGAAAATCTGGCAAGATTAGGTTTGAATCCTTGCTTGACCAACTATAAGATTGTGCTGAGTAGCAACTAAGCTTTTTATGGAGCACAAATTCTCCAGTTGCTACAGTATCTACCACTCCTATTATATTACAGGCCCTGAGGCCTACTGCATGCATTTCTATTACTTGTCCAGTCCCTGTACAAGCCATCAAAACATGACTGGATGCCTGCTTATTTCATAGGAGATGCTGGCAGTTGTTGATGTTAAGTATCCAGATTAGTATGTGGCTTCAAATCTGACCTTTATAAGATACTGGAGGATAGGATGTAAACACAGAACAAGTTGTGGAGTGACCACACAATGAAACAAAAAGTACCACAGTGTGGGAACTGATCTTAGGAAAAGTACAGGAAGTATATGCTGGGAGAGCACAGAGAAAGAAAAGATTATTTCATGAAGACATGATATTTAAAAAATTCCTTTGGAGATTTTAAAATTTTGGTCAAGAAAATAGTTTCCCAAACAAGTTGAAGTACACAGACTTTCTTACTAATCTGTCTATGGTAACTATAAGGTATTTAGTTGGTAAGCACATGAGCCTAGGATGACAAATATACCTGAGTGAGAATAATTTGAGGGACTCCAGAAATGTGACTGGAAGATCATGGAGGTGTTGGTTGTTGTAAAAGAGGCAGAGAGGAAACCTTTTCCTAATGAGCTTGCTGATTACAATGTTCTCTATGTAGATGCCATGGCCTGGCTCTTAACTTTATGGCAATGTTTTAGAAGCAGCATTTGGCTTTTACATTTCTGATTCCCTTAGCGTAAAACAAAGCATGTGGTCACATTCAGAAGAAAGTATGGCATGTTACTGTTATTGCTGTAATGTGAATAATATTATGTGGTTACAGTTTTTACATCTGCTTTTTATTTTCATTTCATTTTAGCAAAAGCAAACTAATTGAAGCAAATTTTTTCTTAAAATCTGCGGTTTAACTCTGCATACCTTTCTGTATCCATCTCCTAACCATCCAACAAATTGGTTAGTTCTTTCCACGTATTGTAAATCCCACCATAAAATCGAGTGAGATTCCATAATTTAGTACTGTATTTCTTATTTGTAGCTGTATCAGATTCCAGCTTTCTCTAGAAATATCTAAGATATAGGAGTTATATAAACATTCAATTTCTTAAATCCTTAGCAACTGGATTCAATAATAAATTCTGTTCAGTTTGGCTCTTTCAAAGAAGTGTAATTTATTCATCTCTCATGCAATCAAGAATTCCAGTTTATGGTTAGATTTTTTTTTTCCCCCTGGTTGGGAGAGGGTCTTCAGAAATGGCTCTCATTGATAAGATGTATTTCTTTGTTCTTAAGCCAAATAGCTTAATTGAATAAAATGTTCTCCTTAATTTGATTTAGTTTCCTGTTCTTAAAATATTGATTCAGTTGTACACAATTTGGTAAGACCAACAAAATACCAACAAATATTTGAAGAAAATTGTAGTTGTATTTATCTATTTTCTTGCCAAGAGCATGCTGTTACTGACAGCAACAATTAACTGTTTTTTTTTTTTTTGCTTCTTCCTGTTTCAACATTAGCTAAAACTGAGGAAGTATAAAATACTGTGTAACATGTAATCCTGAAAGATGTTTTGTTATTGAGTCCAGGGATTTGCAGATTTTCAGTAACGGCCATTCGGTCCACTTGACTTCAAATTAACACACAGGTTGAAGGCAGGAATCTAGGAATTTCTTTTGTGTGCTAGTCACCAGAAGAGAAATCTTATTGACCATGTGCTCATTTCCAAAACCTATAGAGCATGGAAATCTGAATTGAGGAATAAACAAGAAGTTACTTCGGAGGTACTTGCCTCTGATGTTAACCTATCAAACATTCTCAATTAAATCTGGGGAATTCTTGCCACCTATGTTTTACAGATTACTTTGAAGTTTATGTTTATATTCTTTCTTTTCTTTTTTTTTTTATGTTAAGCTTCCTATGTAGTCAAGGTTTCTTTCATTTCATGGCTATATTCCAAGATGATAAAAAAAATCTGGCTGAAAAATTTTTCCCCTACTTTTAGTACTGCTAGGGAAATGATCCATCTGATAACAGAAATAGCAGTAGCCTGTGGAAAAGTATAGCATTAGCTTGAAAACACAAGACAAGACTGGCTTTATTTAGGCCGGTCTGTATTTTTCTGGCCCTTAACTTACGCCTTATTTGCATGTCAGATAACTTATAAAGATATGATTAATTTCCTCTGTATTTGGCTTTTGGAAATGAGTTTACTTAACTTCAGAGACCCCTGCTGAAAAATATCCTTGGATATTTTTCTAAAGATGACTTTAGAATCTCCTGGCAATCAATTAGTCAAATCAACAAATACCTATTGACCTCAGGGACAGTTCTCATCTTGAGGCTCCTTAGATATTCTAAGAATTTTTATTGAACTGAATTTTACTTTACTGAATAAAGGCATTGCTACATGACTCAGAAACATAGAAGCAATATGGATGATCAGAGAGTTTACTCATAAGAAATTAAAATATTTCCTGATGATCATAAAAACAGGCAGTACTGGTTGGCACTTTGATGTGACAACAGAACCTCTCTTAGCATTACAGAGCTTCTTGAATATGCCACTGGGCAGTTTTTGCCATAATCGACGACTACCTTTTTTTGCTTCCTCTTAGCCCCTGCTTTCATCACATTCTACCCTTCAAATATTTGAATTATATGGCTATGTTTTCAGAGATCATGACCGAGGAAAGATGTTACATATCCTTAGGTGTTACTGTAGACAATTACAGACTCATAAGCTATTAGAGTTTGAAGAAACTTTATCAGAAGAAATTGAGGCCCAGAAAGAGAAAGTGACTTGCTCAAAAATACACAGCTGGTTATACCAGTAGCACTGAGGCTAATATCTCACCTTTTGGGTACAGAGAGTCACATTCTCAGAGCAGAACAAAAATAGCCTTGCTGGAATAGTAATTTTGTTTTCTTAAAAAATAAAAAAAATCCTTTTTCTGCTTATGAAATTATTGTATAAAATTCAGGAAATACAAAAATATCTAAGAAAAATAAGATAAAATAATTAAGATTTTTTAGTATCGTTACATTTCCTTCCAGTCTACTTCTCTGCAAATACATAAACACACGTGCACACATAATACATATATGCATACATACATACATATATAGATATATACATAGTATATCAGTTAGAGTTCTGGGCAAGAAACAGAAAAAACACCCAGCTTGGATTTGGAAGATAATTAAATAGAGGCACTATTTATGGATTTAAAAGAGCCAGTAAGAGGTGTTGGGACTCCCAGTGGGTAGGGGGAAGAAAAAGTGTATTGGAGTTTAGAGAGCTTTAGAGCCATTGTTGAAGAATTGGCCACCCAAAATTGTAATCACAGAGGACGTGGGCAAAGGATTAACAAACTTTTCCCCTTTCAGCATGAGAATTGGAGCTGTAGTTAATATTCTGTTTCCCTGGCAATCTGATAAAAGTTGGAATGTCAACAATGTTAAGAGGCAACTTCACTTCACTTGCTGGATTGGGAGAATTATGAAGACCTGATGGGGAAGCTGTACTTTGGGCTTTCCTAAGAGCAGTGATTCTTGTGGCTGGGCATGTCCCTTGCCAGGACCTTGGATGCTGTGGCTATGGGATCATCTCAAGAGATGATGCTCCTATGGGATGTGATGAAGCTTTTAAGCCAGGGTAGCTTCCTTACCCCTTGTACATGTGATGACACAGACTGCAGCAAAAACTCTCACAGAAGAGGGATACCTGACACTGCCTTTCTGTGTTTCCTGTCCTAAATCCTTCTGAGTAGACTGGCTCCAAGTGTAGCCTCTTTTTGTCGTTGAGCATGAATTTGCAGTTGAATCTAAGAAAACTTTCCTGATGGGCACCTCAAGCATACATCATTGCTAAAAACAATGCCACAGCAGGGAGATAAAGGGGAAAATACTCCAAGCTCTTTTTTCTGCTGCCCTCCGGTCTCTTAATACTCCTCCCACTACATTGATTAAACCTAACCACAAGACAGAGGTCAAGCAGAGAGAATCTGGATGTCCCATTTTGTGTCAGGTGCTCACCACAGTTTGTTTATCATTCTCATGTTGATGTATATTTGGCTATATGATAAAGCTGCTATGAATATTTGTGTACAAGCCTTGAGTCACACATTTTCATTTGTCTTGGGTAGATTCACAGGAGTATAATTGCTGGATCATAGGATAGACGAACTTTTTAAGAAACTGCCAGTTTTCCAAAGTGGTTGTACCATTATGTACTTCTCAACAAAGTGTGAGAGTTCCACTTGTTCCAAACCTCTCCAACATTTGTTTGATGTTAACAAACTTTTTCATCTGGACCACTGTAGTGGCTGTGTAGTGATATTTCACTGTAATTTTAATTTGCATTTTCCTGATGACTTAATAATGTTGAAGACTTTTTCATATGCTTTTTGTCATTCACATATCTTCTTTTATGAATAATCTGTTCAAGTTGTTTTAGAACTGGGTTGTCTTTTTATTATTCTTGTTTATGTCATTATTGTGTGAATACTTTTTTTTTTTCATACAACCTGAAAGTGGGGGAGAAAAATCTTTCAGCCAGGTTGTTTTTATCATCTTGGAATATTGTCATGAAATGAAAGAAACCTTGGCTACACAGGAGGCTTAACAGAAAATAAAGAAATATAAATATGAACTTAAAAGTAATCTGTAAAACATAGGTGGCAAGCATTCTCTAGATTTAATTGGAGATTAATCACACAAAAACTTGTGTGATTCAAGTTTTTTCAGACTTTATCTTATGATATTTTTCTCTCAATATGAGGCTTGCCTATTAATTGTGGCTTTGGATAAGCAAAATTTAGAAATATTGATGAAGTCTGATTTATAAATTTTTTTCTTTTTGTCTTTTCTTTGCCTATCCAAAGATAAAAGAAAACATAGTTGTAGATTATTAAAAGGATGTCTTATTTTCTTTTAAAAAAATTGATTTTCATTTAAAAATGAAATCCAATTTAAATTTTTTTCAGATCACTATGGTCTATAGACTGAATGTTTGTGGTGCATACCCTGTCTCCCCTCATTCATATGTTGACATCTAATGTCTAATGTGATGGTATTTGGAGGTGGACCTTTGGGAGGTGATTAGGTCATGAGGTTTGAACTCTCATGAATGGGATAAATGCCTTATAAAAAAGACCCACAGAGCTCCCTTGCCTCTTTCGTCATGTGAAGACACAGCAAGAAGACAGCCATCTAGGAACTAGGAAGCAGGCCTTCAGCAGACACCAGTGCTTATACACTTTCAGGATTTGTGCTGGGATACAGAGCAGGATAAGTCATGGTCCCTGTCTGAGCAGTGACAGTGTGGTAAGTATGATGAGGGAACATGTGGAATACCAGAGAGAATAATTGCCCTTCCGGGATATGTCAGGGAATATTTTATAGTGGAAATATAAGAGTCTTCATGAAGACTTGAAGGGAAGAAGCATGGAGTGGTGGAGAATTAGCAGTAATGAATATAGCTGAGGCTTTGGGTGTGAGATGCAAGCAATGGGAGATGAGACTGAAGAGCTAGGCAGAGCCCAGGCCACAAAGCGATGAGGACTCTGTACCTTGCTCTGTGGCTTCTCTGTCATGGGTAGAATGAATGGGGAGACAGGAGTCATTGAGCCCAGTTAAGAGGCTCAAGTAGTAGCTCAAGTCGGTAGTTCTCAAATTCTCAGGTAGCTGAACTTGAGTTTGTTAGTCCCCAGCCCTTACCTATTAAATTAGAATCTCTGGGGTGGAGGCTGGGCCTGTGAATATTTTCACAGGTTCTGTAGGTAAGTTTGCAGCACACTGGAGTTTGAAAACTACTGGTTCAAGTAAATGAGGATGAGGCAGCGAGAAAGAGAGAAGGGCCTTGATTAAAGAGGTATTAGAAAGTAAATGGTGACCATTCTCGATGACCAAATATATGTAAGAAATGAGAATGTAGGAGGATTCTGGCTTGAACAACTTCAAAAATGTCTTCTATGTCAGTCACCTACATGGCAATGCAGAGTAGGAGACCTGTGGGAGAAAAGATAGGAAGTTTAATTATAGATATAGTACTGACTTACTATCAAGACATACCCATTTATATCACCTAGAAATAATATTAACTTTGGGAGAATGTGGTTCTAAAAATACAAATATTGCTGATAATAATAAAATACTTTCATTATATAATGCTTGTTCTTTTCAAAGGACATATTTAGCTCATATTTGTTAGGCACTAAGATTTGTTGCATGCCTACTATATACTGTGATGACTTTTAGGCTAGATATTGTTATTATTACTATTATTATCATTATCATTTTGCAGACAATGAAACTAAAGCTCAGAGAAGTTAACTGATTTCCCTAAGTCCATCTTAGGAACCAGGGAGAGCCAGGATTCAAAACTCATGATTTTTCCAAGTCCAGTTCTCATTTCACTATTACACAGCTGCCTCTCATAATATGGATGGGCGGTGTTTTTTTTTAAAATTGTTATTTATATATGATAAACTTGAAGTCCAGAGGAACTGATTTGCCCAAGATTCCAAGCTGATAAGTACAGAGCAGGGACCAGAGCCTAGGTTGCTGTTTCCCAGTCACTGCTCTTTTCCCTCTAACTGCTTTCTACATGAATGAGTTTATTTCCATCCTTGTTTTATGTACAAGTGGACCTTTCCCTTCTCAAATAGGAAGAGTTTAGAGAATTATAAATATCATTTTTAAGGGAAGAGATATTATTTGAGAAGCAAAGCCAACCTTCAAGTCTCAATGGCTTTAGAGGGGTATGTGATGGTACATTTTCAGCCTGTGCATGAATTTTTTTCTTTTTTAATTAGGAACCTGACAATGGTGATGATAGAAATATGGAAATAACTCCAGGAGAAAAGATACTTCGGAACACCAAAGAGCAACGGGATCAGCAAAAGCGGCTGAAAGAGATTGATGAAAAGCTGAAAAAGATGAAGGAAAATGTGGTAAGTCTTTTTTTATTTACAGTTTGATCATAACCAATAATTGTATTAAAAAAGGTTCCAGTTTCCTTTGACTGTTTTATGATTGTTTTTATGTGTTAAATCTGTCAAGAGAACTGACATGGGAATTTATCAGTAAGAATTTGAATAAAAGCTAAAAATATGATTTATAGAACTTAAAATAGTGTTACACTTAATTTATGTAACATAATAAATCTGTGGAATACTATTTGAAATCATTATAATGATTCATATAACTAATAGTCTGACAGTGACATGAATGTTTTTTTTTGTGTGGAAAAATTTGATATTTGTTCCCCATAAAATCATCTTTATATATTGAACTTATCACTTAAATACTCCCACCTTTGTTCATAATTCATAACATATTATTACTCATTAACTATAATACACTCTAAATTCTTCTTGAACTTATTTTATGTTTTAATTACTTGCCATTTAAAGACATCATTGCTGACGAGGGAAAGCTCTTAAATGAAGTAAATTGTGAGCTGATTGATATTCTGAACCTATTAGGAATGCTCTGTAACATTATGATTTTCCAGCTTGTTTTCAACTAGATATTTGGTTTTACCTAAAATTAAACATGACAAGGCTGAACTTGTGATTCTACCTACATCCTCTCTGCTAGGGCAGGTCTTGCCAGCAGTACCTACTTTCTGTCTCCTACTAAATGCTGTTATCTTGGGTGATCTTCATGCCTCATTAAGTTTTAGCCAGTATATCTAATTTGTTGCCATATTTACCACAGTTTGTTATGGCTCTTTGAAAATCTCTTTTTTGTCCTAACTTGTATCACCCTTCTCTCAACATTGTCACCTCCTGTCTAGCTGCTTATAACCTCATCGCTCTCTTCTCTCGTTATTCCATTTTATATGCTGCTCCATGGGAGTAACATCAGGTAAGTGATTTCGATTAAATTCTGATGTCCTCAGAGCTCTGTGAGAGGGGGCGCTAATCTTGGCTGAGATTCTTCACCCCTTATGATCACATCCTGCCGAACTGCTCTTATCATTTGCCAGCCATGGACAGCAGCACTGACCTGCAGCCTAAAAGATATCTATGTCTATCTAATGAGAGTCAGGCAACAAATCTAAAGGGAATAAATGCATTGTGTTTCTCTTTATAACTCATTTTTATTTACTTTTCATGGGCAATTTAATGGGAATTATATTTCAGGGAGACTCTTTTTTTTTTTTTTTAACTTTTAGAGGGATATTTTTCTCCTTGGGTCTATTGAATGGGGAAGAAGTAGAAGGAAGAATGGTTGATAGGTATAAAGGGGCTTTTGGTCAATCGTTGTGGTGGCGTTGATGGGGCATTTCAAACTTGATGTGGCAAATAAAATGTTTGTGGTCTGACTGGTTTTGGAAACTCTTGGCACTTCTCACCCCACATCTGCCAATCCAAGGCAGGCAAAGCCTATCATTCTCCATGAATACTTTCCTGATTTCTAATCATTTATCATATGCTGTGGACATGTATCTGTTCTTTTCTACTATGTCTTTATCATTATTTAATTTTTGACTCAAAACCTAGGTTCTTTAGGAAATCTTATATTTTATTCCACTTTCACGAATACTGGCTAGACTTAAAGAGATATGATAAATATCAAGAGTTGGTTGTTATCTAAATGCAAAAGAATAATATGTAAGTATAGAAGAGCAGTTATTATGTACCTACTATATGCCAGGCACTGTTCCAAGTACTTTACGATTTATTAACTTATCTAATCTTCACAGGCACTCTAAGAGGTAAACACTACTATCCTCATTTTATAGATGAGTAAATGGGGGCATGGAGAGATTGAGTAACTTTCTCGAGGTTAGAAAGCCAATAAGTGGAAGAGATGGCCTTCAAATAGTTAGCTTTAACAACTGTGCTATACTGCCTTTCTGGCATTTATTTACTTCACTTTTCATTTTTATTATTGTTTTTTGATGATTAATGTATGATAAATTTGTTATAAACAGTAATATTCATGGGCAAAATGTTTAGAACCCCTCATATAAATTCACAGTTTTGTGTTTTAAAGTGATCTCTTCAGAAACTGGTATGTAGTTAATAAGGTGTGTGAGTATTGATCTATACTGTTTTTATGTTTTAATTACTTAGTGTTTTATAATAACCTATGAATCATATTGTGTATTGTGTGTGCACTTTTGAGGGAAGATACTGGGTCTGCCCCAAACTCTGTAAAGCCTATTGTACCTCACAAACTTTTAGGTACTTTGTGAATTGAGAATCTGGAGACCTGAGTTCTTTTATCAGTGTTGTCTGGAACCTGCTCTGTCACCTTGAATAAGTCACTTAGTCACTTAGAGAGTTGATTTTCTTACTTTAAAATCAAGGCATTAGGGTTAGATGACCTTGTCCTTTTGCCTGTGATGCATGGCATACTTATTTTTGGTGAGAGAAAATGTTATTTATGATATCTAAAGCTCAGTTCATGTGCTTCCTAAATATTTAGTAATTTGGTTTAAATTTTCTATTGCAAGTTAGTTTTGGAAGTAACACTTTTTATTAAGGAGAATGTAAGATTGTCTTTTATATATGTATAAAAGTTAGTCTGCCATCTATAGACCAGAGAATATGATTTCTGAATGATAGCTTCTAGAAATGGCTAATTTTGCAGTTTTGTCTTCTTCTCCCTATGGCAATGGGATATTGTTTCAAGATCACTGACTTGGGTAAAAGAAGTAATCTGTGGCCATTGAATTGGTGATTTAAGGATCAAATCTGTATTCATTCTTATGGATGAAAGAGAGAAAGAGAAAAAGAGTGAACTAATGGGCAAAGTAAGAGCCCTGGTGGGGGGTGGGGGTACTCCTGGAGTCACCTGGATCCCAGGATTGATTTGTCAATGAAGTCTAGAAGAGTGACTTAATTCTGTGTTTCAAATGGTGGCCGAGGCTGTGAATACACATTTGTCTTGGTCAAGATTGGTTTAGAAAGTGAGATTCGATTTAGTCTGAAGGTGGTGGTATTGTTTGTTAACAATGAATCTAGGTAGTAGGAGCTAGAGGAAGTAGGCATGATGAAATGAGGTTAGGGCTCACAAATGTAATACAAACTTCACTGGGCGTGCAGGGGCCCTGAATACCAGCTGCATAAGTAGAGGAAAGATGAGCTATGGCTACTAGAAGTAGCATATCAAAACAAATCTTTAGGATTTGCTCAGTATAAGTCAGCAGTGTAATGTAACTGCCATGGTGTACATTAAGGGAGAGGTAAGCACAAGAGATCATATTTGTATGGTAGAATGATAAGGATGAGGATGAAATTTAAAACCAGGTAATATGAAGGATTGTCGACGTGACTGTGTATTTATTTAGCCTGGTGAAGAAAAGGTGTGTGTGTGCGCACACGCTTGTTGTACAGAAGGATGGGTGGGAAGGTTTGGTTGAAAGATCACACGTGATAATGTCTCAGAAAGAGTTAAAGGACTATCATTTAAAGTATTAGTTTTATTCTTTATAGTATAGAAAAAAAGCATGGTGATTGGGAGGCCATAAAGAGACAGATTTCTGATAAATATTAAGGAAGAAAGTTAGAATTATCTCAGTGGAGATTGTCTGGGGCAAGGTTTTCAAATTAGGCTGGCGTAACACTTGCTAGGTAGCTGTAGAGAGGGTTTAAGTATCAAAAGGGTGGCTAGATGGTTTAGGTCAGTTTCTCCAGCACAAGCAGGCATTTTATGTATGGTGAGAATGTGGAGGTGCTGTGCTTTGAGCTCTTTTTCACGTGTGGATAGGGAGGTAAAAAAGGGAAATTCACTTTTTATACCATACACTATTTAAAGGGAGAAGTGTATTGGGATTATGGGTGATTGTTATATTATTTTTAATACTTATCTCTGTAACTCAACTGTCCACCTTATACATGTGTTACATTTGTAAACAGAATTAATGTTTAAAATATGGAGAGCATCGAAGCTGGAAAGATCTCTACTTATCGTCTCTCAGTAAGTAGTCTTTATGCATTTAGGAAAATAGAGCAAGACAACACAAGGAATAATGTTCTGCCTTACCAGTGATTCAAATTCATATTCAAACCACCTTTACCCATTATATACTCTTATCAGACCAACAAAAATAATGATTAATGTGGTATAATTATATGTCAATGGGAGTGGCGTGGAGGCAGGGACAGCTGTATTGAACATTATTTTAGCTTTTTAAACTGATTATTTTTCCCCTTGAAAGTAATTGGTCTATTGTTATATTTTTGACCTACATAATTCCACTTTTAGGAATATTTCCAAAGAAATCACACTCAAGGAAAACCAAACCAAACAAGAAACAATTTAAATACTCTCAAATAGAATGCTAAAGCAATTATACAATCTTAACTCATTTATTACTATGATAGGATAATAAAAATAACAGTATATGTATTTGTCAATACAGGACTTTTAGTTGAAAATGGATGATATAAAATATAAAAATAAAAATAAAAATTCTAGATAGGTTGTAAGTATCAACTGTAACTATGTAATGTGTGTGTGTGTGTGTGTGTGTATAACAATGTGATAGACAACAATCTGAAAGGAAAAAGGATATGTTATTAACTTAGCTTTATTATTTTCTACTTTCCATTAAATTATTTATATACTTTTAATCCTTTAATATAGTGATGGATTTTTTCAATAAGTTAAATAAATAATAATTTATGCTTGGTCCAGTTCTTCTGAGAGTGTTGAGTATTCCATTGTGATAATAAGAGCAGGGGGGTTTTTCAAAAAAAATAAAGAACATCTTTAACTTTTGGGTTCAGTAAAAATGCCTTTAATGAAGTTGCATAATAAGAATTCTAGCTTGCACAAATCAAAATAATTCAGTTTTAGTTTTTGCATTGTCCAAGGAAGAATCACCAATCTGATGTCGTCTCATTGACTCCTTTAATGATAAAACATTCTCAAAGATTTTTTGTTAGTATTGTTAGGAAAAGCTTTCCACGGTTCCAGTCATTTTAAATGCATT